GACAGACAGACAGACAGACGGACAGACAGACAGACAGACAGACAGACAGACAGACAGACAGACAGACGGACAGACAGACAGACAGACAGACAGACGGACAGACAGACACACACACAGACGGACAGACAGACAGACAGACGGACAGACAGACAGACAGACAGACAGACAGACAGACAGACAGACAGACGGACAGACAGACAGACAGACAGACGGACAGACAGACAGACAGACGGACAGACAGACAAACCCCTCACCTTGATCCCACTGAGCACCTCATCGATAAGCTTGATCCGGAGGTCCTTCCAGGCCAGGTTCTGTCTCTGTAACTTCTGCTGTTTGTATGCCACGTAGGCGTTCAGCGGAACCAGGAGCAGTAGGAGCGCCAAACCTGACAACACCGGGTACCCCAGGGTGTCCCACAGCAGGTACACCGCCAGAAAAATCTGGGGATTCACATGAAAATAAATGACAGAGTTTTTCTACCAATGTCAGATAATGACAAGCCAATGTGTCTTTTCAAAGAAAAATAATTCTAAAGCGAAACAGAAAAACCAATTAGGATTGAAATTACTTGTGGCTTCTACGATAAGATACCATAAGGCACAATGAGATGAGATAAGAAAAGATAAGATAAGATAAGATAAGATAAGATAAGATATCTTTATTGTCCAGTTTCTGGCACATTGGATATGGCTATTGAGACGAATTCTGACAAAGAAAAGTTTGCCACATTTGAGCATTTATCACCGAAGCTGTGCTTTTACCATTTATTACATTCATGTCAGAAAATACTTGTATCTATGAATTTATTACATTCATGTCAGAAAATACTTGTATCTATGAATTTATTACATTCATGTCAGAAAATACTTGTATCTATGAATTTATTACATTCATGTCAGAAAATACTTGTATCTATGAGTGATTATGATCCTGAGTTCTCCTCTCACCTGAAACGGTATGGACCAGACCATCCAGGTGTAGCTGAGCAGGTCCTGAATCCTCTGACAGTCCACCGACATCAGGTTGACCACCTCACCGGAAGTGCTGGACCGCTGACCACTGGTGTCCACTCGGAGAGACTGAGAGGAGGGTAGTGACGGGGGGAGAGTAATATTTGGCAGGTGGACATTACATGGGGAGGGTGAGGTTTTTTGTTTTGTTTCAGTAAGAATTTTACCACACCCACATCACAATTATGTCATAATATAAGTATATCTAGTCGTATGTCGTGATAAGTAGAGTCTGAAATGAAGTCCTGGAACCATTTATGAGGGACTTTGACCAAGATGGCCCAAAACAGACAGAGCTGGAGATCCTTTGCTGCTGCCGTAAACGCCAGATGGCGTAACGGAAGGTATGTAAGTAAGTAAGTGTGTGGTTATATGGTCGCTTTTTAGCACAAGGGGGCTATCCCGAAAAATGCTGTTTTGATAAAAATCGAAGGTAAAGTTTTTGCCCCTTGTTCAGTTTCTTTAAAAGACAAGGAGAGTTTTCTCTATAACCAAACTTTCTCATTCTTTTTCATTTTCATTGTTATTGTCATTGTCACTGTCATTGTTATTTTCATTTTCATTTTCATTTTCATGGTCATTGTGGTTGTGATTGTTATTGTTATTTTCATTTTCTTTTTCTTTTTCATGGTCACTGTTTTTGTCCTTGTCATTTATATTTTCATTTTCATTTCCATGGTCGCTGTCATAGTTTTTGTTATTGCTATTTTCATTTTCACTGTCACTGTCACTGCCTCTGTCTCAGACTCACCTTTTTATAGACGGCGGCCATGAGAGCCGCTTTCATCCTCATGCCTGATGTCATGGCCAGGTGGTAGTGCTGGTGGTAGAACATGGTTTGAACCCAGGACGACAGCAACATAGCCCCAGCCAGCACATAGCCGTGCCACTGAGGGGTGTCTGGTCCTTTCTCAATGTGGAGAATGAGGCCTCTGAGGTGGTTGTGGTCAGGGAGAGGGAGTGGGGAGGGTGGGGGATGATACAATTAGTATTGTATAGAAATTTTCAGATAAACAATGTTTTGAGAAAAAGGGTGGGTGGGTGGGAGGGGGGGGGGTGATACAATTAGTATTGTATTGAAAATTTTAGATAAACAAGGTCTTGAGAGCTGGAGGGTGGCTGGGTGGATGAAGTTAGTATTGTATTGAAATTTTCAGATAAACAATGTTTTGAGAAAGAGTGGGTCGGTGGGTGGTTGGGTGGGAGGATAAGATTAGTATTGCATTGCAATTTTCAGAAAAAACAATGTTTATATACTCGAAGAAAGACCACCTAGTATAGTCACTATATTAGAAGAAATACCACAGCCACTATATTAGAAGAAATACCACAGTCACTATATTAGAAGGAATACCACCTAGTATAGTCACTATATTAGAAGGAACACCACCTAGTATAGTCACTATATTAGAAGAAATACCACAGTCACTATATTAGAAGAAATACCACAGTCACTATATTAGAAGGAATACCACCTGGTATAGTCACTACATTAGAAGAAACACCACCTAGTATAGTCACTATATTAGAAGAAATACCACAGTCACTATATTAGAAGAAATACCACAGTCACTATATTACAAGAAATACCACAGTCACTATATTAGAAGGAATACCACAGTCACTATATTAGAAGGAATACCACCTGGTATAGTCACTATATTAGAAGGAACACCACCTGGTATAGTCACTATATTAGAAGGAATACCACCAGTATAGTCACCATATTAGAAGAAAAAGCCACCTACACTATACCAGAAGTAACTGTTCCAGCAGACAGAGATTTCAGGATTATAGATGTAAGTCATTGATCTAAGAGCGGTCCTCCCAAATGTCCTTCTAAATTATGTGGATTGGGATGTTAAAAAAACAAACCCGCGTACACTATACTAGAAGTGTACAATAATTCTACTCACGGCAGCAGAAAGGCGTACACTAGAAGTGTACAATTCTACTCACGGCAGCAGAAAGGCGTACACTAGAAGTGAACAATTCTACTCACGGCAGCAGAAAGGCGTACACTAGAAGTGAACAATTCTACTCACGGCAGCAGAAAGGCGTACACTAGAAGTGTACAATTCTACTCACGGCAGCAGAAAGGCGTACACTAGAAGTGAACAA